TGACGAACAATCAAATGTTGAATCGTATGATAAATTTTGACTTTTAATACAAGTAAATAATAATAGTAATAAACACAAAAAAGAAGTAGACAAAACAGGCATTTTTATGTGGAATGAAAGTATGTAATCGATTGTTGAAGTAATTGTGAATAAGAATACTAAAGAAAAAAAATCCGTTGATGAAGAAGAGCATTGTTTGATTCTATTGGATGGTGTGCCAATAATAAGGGCATGAATTTTCTTCATTTCTATTGGTCTAATGATATCAAGTCCGTCAGTCAATATGCGGCAAGACACTCTGACCTCAGGATGTGGGTGTGGTTGTTTAACAAAAGAAGACACCCACACCCACACCCACCCTCAAGAGAAGCAAATATTTTTATTCAATACCTTACAATAATCAAAAACAGCAAAACCTTTCTTCGTTACAGCATGTTTTGCCCATTTTTTTATTTAAATCTCCAATATATAAACTCCGTGTTGATGTTAATGCACATGATATAAAGAAATCTAGATCATCAATCCATTTAACTTGAACAATCCAATCATTATGTAAATTACAAAAACTAATCACTGATACTGTTAAATATTCATTATTAATAATTCGTGGAAAGGAATAATTTCTTCTTGAATCTGATTCATATAATGTATTAAATCAGATATATGAAACATTGGTCTAAATGGATCTTTAGCTTGAAATATAAATAAATTTCCTAATGAATCTCCACAAAAAATTGCTGATTGAGAAGAATTTTTTATATTCATACGATAATCAATGGTTGTTAGACCAGCTGAAAGATGATTTATTATAATAGAACCTGTATATGTATGTGCATTTATATCATAAAAAATTAAATCACGTTCTGTTGTTGCTATAGCAAAATAATTCACATCTGGTAGAACACATGTACATGTTATCCATAATGGAAGAGTTCTATATAGAAAACAAAACTAAATTAAGGAGGGATAGTTCCCAAGTTATAAATCATTTCTAAGTGAGAAGTATTTTCAATCGAAAGGGTCTAGTGAGTAGGTAAATATTTTAGAGTGATTCAAGCTGTTGGATTTTTGTTACTAAGATATCGAATATTTTAGTAGTTTTTTTCTGTAGGACCACAGTTTTCAAGTGACATTATATTTCTGGATTTTGATCTGAAACTTTCCCGAAACATGGATATTTTTAAAGATTCATACCTCGGAAAGGCTTCAGCAAACAATTCGGAAACTTTTTCTATAAGCTATCCTTCAGGAAAAACTCACCAAACATGAGAAATCTCAGTCTTTACCTACTCATTTGACCTTATCGTTTGAAGACAGTCACCACTTGAAAGTGATTTATCACTTGGGTATCGTCCTTCGTAAGATTATTTTGTATTGTTTAATTTACTGTTTTCTTTGTTCAATTGATTGAAATTTTGATTCTCGTATAAGTTTTAATGATAATGACCAATGTGATACAATACCATTACGTGATATTGATATATATCGTCCATATGTATAATCAATTTGTTCAAGAGTTTTACCAGTACGTGATATTCCCGGAAAAAAAATGAAACTATTCAAAAACAAAACAAAATTATTTATATTCAAATAGAAAATATTTTTTATGTACACCAATATAAAGATCAAGTGAAAGATTTTTTAATGTAAATTCTTTTGGATTATTTGGATAAGGCATTGGTTTTGGCATATCATACATTATTTCTCTTTCTTGATGTTCAAATAATATATATATTAAATATTCTGAAAGATCAACTTCATCATCACAATTTGTATCTACATGAAGAATTTAATTGATCATATTTATAGTCATTTAATATAAACGTCATCTACCTATCTAATAGAAAAAAAAACGTCATGTATTTTTTTTTCTTCTGTTAACTCTTTATTTCATACTTTCATAAAAATAATTTGTGCTTCTCGATCGGTTATATCAGGGTATGTTCGCCGCATAAATGCAGTGAATTCACTAACATCCAAATAACCTGTATTATCAGTATCAGCTTCAGCAAATGAATTACGGAACTTTTCGACAAATTCAAATGTTACCCCAAAAACAGCAAGTAATGGAACTTCGATGCCGGCATATTATATACTTTGAATCAACCATTTAATAGAATATTTATGAAAAATGTGACGTATGATACGATATTAGATCACATATATGTATGTTGTAAATGAAATTGAGATAAGGTTAAATTTCAAAATAACTCGTACACAAGTTTGAAATTCTAATTTTGATTGAACAAAATTAGAATTCGACTAGAGATAAATTCTTATAATCACATCCTTTACTAAGTGAAAAGTGAAATGAAGAGGAAAAATAAAAATTCACAAAACATAAAGATCGTGTATTAAATAGTAAATAGAGATTCACTTTATTATAAAGAATTACAAAAAAACATATTAACTCTACATCACCACTATTAAGTTGAAGGGGAGCGGTGGGGGGGGGGGGGGGGTGACGCTCCTTTATTTATCCACGCCCAAAAGGACAAAATCTCATTTAAAACGAGATGATTGTCCATATATACATGAATATTCTAAGTCTTTTGCATTTTAAAGTGTTTAGGAAAACAAGTAGATGTTTTCTCAATAAACAATAGTTATTCTACTCCGATTTTTAATTATTTTGATTTAGTATGAATGTATGTCTTTTTGAATTTCGATTTCTCACACAACATATACATGATAGTTAAGAAACATTCATTAAAAAAAAGCTGAAATTAGTAAAGAAACAAATAATTACTTATGACTATTATAGAAAATACTTCGAGTTTCTGAAATTATTTAAGCAGTTTGATCCAGATATTTTTATATACTCACATATCTTCTACTACTCGTTCAAGAGAAGTTCCTTTAGTTGTTGATAAAGGTTCAATCAAAATCTTATCATTATTATCGATTGTATCTTTTGAAGAATCATTACCATTTGCATAATCCTACAGATATAGATGAATATATATTGAATCAATAGAAAATTCAAAAGCATACTTTATTTGTTTCATTTCGTAAATGTTTAAGAAATTGATCAACAGCATGAATAAATATTTTATTTGGTAAACGAACACCGATTTGAGCACTACGTAATGCTTGTAAAGCTTTATATGGTTTATCAGAAAAATTTTCATTTGACTATAGGAGATAGTTCAATAATAATTACAAATGATAACAAAAAAAGAGTATACCTTCACTGTCGACGGAAGGAGAACATTGTGATGTTTGAATGAATTAGTATGAGTGGCAGAAGTATTCTTCTGTGATTTCTGATTGATATTCATTTTGTTGATCTGTTTAAAAGCGCCAAATTCAAATGACTAAATTTATATTTTTAATCGATCTTTTAGTGTTTACGTAGCAGAGCAAAAAGCTAAGAAGAAATCAGAGATTTATCCTGTTCTCATCTTTATCAAGAAAATAGAATACATACTTCGGCAATTGTTAATTCGAATAGGAGGGTAATCTAGAACCATCAATTGTACATAACATTACTTTCTTGCTTTTTGCTCAGACTCATGGGCGTTGCAGATTCAACTTTATCACTATTCTGTCCCGTTTTAGTAAGCACTTTGACAACAAAAGGTTTTTTTCTCTTGAATTTAATTTTCATCAAAGCATGATATCCAGAAAATTTCAGTTTTAATTCATCAAACAGTATAAGGGGCCTAAAAATATTTTTCTAGGAGAGCGGGTAACGCTGTGATTTCCAATAACATCACCAACAGATTTTAACACTGAGTATTAAACATTACAGAAACTTTTCAGTGTTGAATTCAGAAAATTGTGCACCAAATCAACATAGAAAAAATGTTTTCATGAGGCAGTTCAAACTGGATCTCATTTATGATGATAAATACTAAAAAGTAATATTTATTTCGCAAGACTTGATGAACACTACCACTAGTGTTTTACAGCAAAAAGATGAGATTGATACGAACATAGAATAATTTCAGATAGTCCAATGTTTGTTTTCATGTTTGTCGAAACATATGAAATATGTTTTTGTAGAATTTCTTCATCAAAACAATTGTGTTCCGCGTCTGATAGCCATTCTTGCTAGCTTCATTATTTATTATTATTCTAATTTTTTCACATTAGATATTCAGTACTGTTTTGATATTCATCATTTTGGATAAGATCTAGTTTGAACTGCCTCACAAAAGGCATTTTTCTCTGCTGATTTGGCGTACAATTTTCTGAATTCAACACTGAAAAGTTTCTGTAATGTTTACTATTCAGTGTTAAAATTTGTTGTTGATATTGTTTGAAAACACAACCTTATCAACCTGAAAAAATATTTTTACGCACTCTGTACAACAAACATGTTTCAAGTTGGTGGATGCTTTTTCACCATTGCTCTGCTCACTTATCAGTGAGCTTATATTTTGATAGAGATGTGCACTTTCAGCTTACTGAGGGTGTGGGTGTGGGTGGGTGGGTGTAGGTATCAATCTTTTTTCACTTAACACCCATACTCACACACACACCCACACCCACACACCCATCAAAGTTCAATTCTTTAGTTTATTCATTTGTCAAGATTTGTTTTATTTGTTTACACTGTTTTTCGACCAATAAAAAGTACAGTATATGTTTTTTCATTCATGAATAGCAAACCTGAAGACATACCGTTTTATCATTTATTGTTTGATAATTTGATTGTTATCATTTTAATGAATATTTATACTTGAAATGCTAACGAGTGTTCCATCATCGATGTATTCGTTTTATGTTGTGTCTCTAAAATGCTTGATAGTTGCTTTAAAATTCTATTTTGGATGTTGATGTGGAATGTGGGTGTAAGTGTGCGGATATGGATTTGGACCGTCCCTACTTTTACACCCAAATCTACACCCATATCCTGCTCTATGAGGACGTGGATGTAGATGTGGGTGTCAATGCGGACAGCTGTGTGAAGCTAATACATCTGTGTTCACTCATGCCTATATCCATACATCCACACACCCACATCCACATCCACACCACACCCATCCACGCCCACCTCTAACAGCTTATTAACGTGTGGCACATTCTGCGTGAGAGGCTACCTCGATGACTTGCGATGCTACGCGCATCACATATGATGCTACAACAATCAGCTCAATAGTTCACCCACTCTTCCGTATAGCTCAGGCAGCTTCTCTCCGCAACCATCTCAAGCATGACTTCATGTATATGGATGAAAAGAAATGCCCACCTAGTGCGAACGCATGGGTAATCGCTTGCACTGCTTGGAATAATGCCGGTAGTGATTCTCGTGCAATACATCAAGTGGGGAATCAGTTCTCGCGTAACTAGCATTTTTATTTTGAGTGTCGCGGAGCGGGGGCCCGAAGGGTGTGGGTGTGTGGGTGTGGGTGTGGGTGTGTGGGTGTGGGTGTGTGGGTGTGGGTGTGGGTGTGGGTGTGGGTGTGTGGGTGTGGATGTGGATGAATAGAAGAGCAGCACACACCAACACTATACCCACACCCACACCCTATTAAATATCGAGGTCGGGGTAGTTTTAAATTGAAGCTAGCCTCTATGCACAACGTTTCATCGGACGGATTTCTGAAATTTGACTCTATTGATTTTTTATAAGGACTTTAATGTGCACGTCTCAAAAATGGCGCCAAAGAAGGCGATAAATTGAGCTTTTCTCAGCCTAAGAACTTTATATGAAAAATTCGTCTCATGAAAAGTTAGTCCCAACTGAGACCTTTAAAACCAAAGAAAATATCTGGAAATGCCTGAGCCGAGCCTAAGTTATTTCAACGTCAGAAAACTATGTTTCGAGAAAAACACAAAATAAGTTTTAGATATCGATTTTTTCATGAAAGACTTAACAACTGATTTTAACACGGAATGTTTTCAACATGTTTCATTAGATCTTGTTACAATTGGTTACAAATGAAGTAAGGTAGCGCCATCTACCACGTTTATGCGGTATTGCTCTATTACCCGTTTGCACTGACACTAATACATCACCCTAAGCGATGTGGAAAAATAGATTTTCTCAAACAGCTGCATTTCTGAACAAAATACGCTAAGTATATCTGTTATAGTGTTCGACAATGTTTTAGAAATACGAACTTAAGCACCGTATGACGCATCAACTTCACGTCAATGGTGTTTGATTCGAATCAGTCGCATATAAATTGATGAACAGCGAAAAACCAAAAAATTTTACGAAAAATTCTTGAAAAACGTGATTATGATGGATAATGTTTCTCCTGTAACTCCCTTAAAACTTAAGCCTTTTTCAAAAACCTATATATATTCTGAAAGAGGAGAATACGGCGAATCTTACTATGAAGAAAACTCGATTTCCGATTTTTTTCGAAAAATCGGGTTTTCCGACGGGGGGGGGGNAATTTAAAGCTATGCCTAGAGTTCAATTCAACACATTTCCATCCAAACGGGCGCGTCGGGGGGGGGGGGGGGGGGCGTGCCCCCTTAAGTGTAATTTCATGAGAGTCGCATACTTCAATAGATGCTTAAGCGGTTAAGGTTACAAGAGTGTTTTTGACTATTTCGAAAAAAGTTTGTTAAGTAAACATTAAGAATCCTTATAAATTTTTGAAGTTATAAACATTTTTCAAATCAGTTTAAAACTAAAAAAAACAGAGTTCGTAATTTTGAAATGGGCAAAATTATTCATTAATGAATTATTATTCGTTTTAATGGCCATTTCACCATTCTTTATTTGAAAAGATACATTTTAGTGGTCGAAATGTTCTAGCTACAAGTAATAAGGCATTTTAATGACCATTTCTTCATTATTCACTTGACTGGGTAGCTCCAATGGATATACGGTGACGCATATGTCCGTCAAAATATTAATTGTCACATCATAGCAACACTACAATCTGCTTCAGTATGCATTACTGCTTCAAGTGTTTTCTAGATATTATTGTGTTCTCATGTTAACTAAATCGTTAAATACCATACACTGTTTCATCCCAGAAAATGAGGAAAAAAGTAATCATTTCTCTTTGTTCAATGTGTGTGTGTGGGTGTGCGTGTCGGTGTGGATATTGGTTCCATCTGCACCCACAACCACATCCCACACCCACATACCCACACCCACACTCTCAAGTCTGTTTTGAAAATAGTCTCATGATAGTGTAATGCAAAATGAAGAATACGAAGAGATAGAGCAAAAATATGAAACCATTTTATTCACACAAAAAATGATTGAAATTATTCTCTCACTTCAAAGTTATGTTGCAAAGCAAAAACAAGAAAAAAACGCTTCGATGTATTTGGTATCAAGAAAAATGTTTTTCCTTCTGCCTGACGGCACCTATTCACGATCGTCTGGTAAGACAAATACAGCATGTAGTGGATGACTTTTTTGACATTTCAATCAGCGTACACACTTGAGAAATCACCTTGTCAATATTGTTGTCATAGAGAATCAGATTATTTGTGTCTATGCAACTGCTCATCCACGATAGATCGAAAGTAAAATCAGATTCAGCTTGGACTCCAATCAAGATTCTCTCTTGACTTGAAAATTGATTTGTTGAGATAGCGTAAGATATTTCATGAAATTTATCAATATTTTCACTATAGGCAGTCGATAACATAGCAATAATTACTGATGCTGATTTGATTACATTAGCTACGTACTTCCACGGATCGTCAAAAGATTCCACTTTTTCATAGTCGACCCAAATCGGCATTGTAAGTTTACCGCGCAACTTCGCCACAAACGTTTCACAAAACTGCTTTTGGGTCGAATCGTAGCTGACATAGATTGCTGACGACTTGCCTGTTTTCACCTGGTCTGGTGAGATTTCTTGCTGAATTTTGGACCATAGTTGCTTGGCATCTTCTTGCTTTGGACGTTTGGCAAGGCATTGAATGATAACGCACAGCTGATGGATCTCGATCAATTCTTTCAGATACTTCGAATGATTGAAAATGGAAATCTGTAAAAGAATTTTGAGTAAATATCTTGCAGCGCGCTTGTCAAGATCGTCCGCTTCCATATCCAGTAATGCTCCGTATATAGATACAAGAAGTTGTGCAAAGAATTTTATCGGTTTTGTTTCATCATCCGATTCACCAACTAAAATATTTTCAATTACGTGCGTGTTCGAAAAAGCGCGATGCAGTAATTCCAAATATTCCGACAAATGACATCCGTCATATCTGAAGTTGTCGCAGTGATCAGCTCCCTTACCCCCTTTGTACAA